CTCTGCCACACTCCGGAACTTGCCGCACTGATTAACCCCAAGCGTGTTCATTCGGATATGGAACATCCCTAGGGTTAGATTAGATCCACACTATTATAGGAGTTTTTAAGTCGGTCGAGTTGACGTGACTCTCTTGGAGGTGGCTCAAAGGGCATAGGACGACAGTCGCTGTTGAGCGCTCCTTGTGGGTGAGTTTGAGATCAGTGGACTTGCGAGCTTCTGGCTGACCTCTGCTGGTGGTTCGCTCAACACCATTTTTCCCACCAGATAACTGAATGAGTTGAAGGGGAGTGCCTTCATCAACACATCTGCAAATATCTCCTTGGTTTTGCAGTACTCGATCTTCATCTTGCCAGAGGTAAGCGTTTCGCGGAGAAAGTGGTGTTGCACGTTGATGTGTTTAGTCCTTGAGTGATGTCATGGATTTCCGGCCAATCCGATACATGGTTGGTTATCTCCTAGGAGTAGTGTCGGCCCTTTGGGCAAAGCCTGCAGGTGTTTGAGTAAGGTGCATAGCCAGATTGCTTCTCAAGACCAGTGACTTAGAGCGATGTACTTTGCTTCAGTGATGGCTCCGTCTGCAGTTCCATCTTCACCCCCTCCGCGATGGCTTGCGAAGGGGCGGCAATGAGCAAGTCGTCACGGCAATGAGCAAGTCGTCAACTTAGACAGCAACATATACCCGCCCATCTCGACCATCTTGGTAATAGAGGGAGCAGTCAGCGTTGCCCTTCGACTTCATGAACCAGTCTAACCTGGCGTTCCACTCTCCCAGGAACTGTTTGAGGCTGTAAAGCGTGGGGAGCAAGCAGCAGACTTGTGTGCCTGCAGGTGAGGCTGGGGGTGTCTTCATGAAGATTGTTTCTTTAAGGTTTCCATCTAGAAACACAATCTGAAGATCCATCTGATACAGGAGGTGATTGTGCCCAGCAGTGAGAGCCAGGAGGACGCAGAGAGTGGACATTTTCACCTTCGGTGAGTATGTGTGGGTGAAGTTGACTGTGTAATGTTGGCTATAGTCAAACGGTAGTAATCAAGCTTTGTATCTAGTGATGTTGCCATGATCATCTCGCTTGCGGCAATGAACCCTGTTGCAGCCGATCGCGGTGCAAACCGGCAGAAAAGTCTGCATCTCCCAGGTGCCAGTCACTTTGAGGCAGGCAAGCCTGGCAGCAATAGGCTTGCGCCACATGGTGGCGTCAGGGGCTTTAAGTGAATCTGCAGTTGTTTTGAGCTCAGGGTGGTGGTCTTGCGCACAAAAGGCGTAGTCAGCAACAAATGTATGCACTGCCATATTTGGTCAGGGAGCGACTTTGAAGTGCACATTGAAGACAACATCCTGAGTAAAGAGAATCGTCTCATCTGTAGTGAGCAGGACGCTTGCCCTCTTTGTTGTATCGCCGAAGCCAAGAAACTGATATGGGTAAGCACCATCGATTTCGTTACAGAGATTCTTATAGGTGAAGTAAGCGTAACCCATGGCGTTGAAGACATGTAGATGCTTTACTGATGGCTTTGTCTTGTACAGCTTCTTGTAGTGTGTCACTATTGGCATAAGGGCGCTCGTATGTCTACCATTATGCGGGTATGCAGCATATAGCACAGCATCACCCCAGAAGCTCGTTGGTAAGTTTGTTGCGGCTAGCATCGAGGAGGTGGAGTCCCTTAAAGTTCGATTGATATGATCGGCTCTGCCATTTAGCTGCAAAAAATGTGGGACTGTAACCTGGTGACGTATGTTCCACTGGCACAGGAGTTTGTGGACTGAATTAATGCAGAACTCTCACCCTCTGCCAGTGCACAAGAGGCGCAACGCATGACCGTTGGGTGAGACGACATGAGTATAGAATGGTTGAAATGCCTCTAGCAAGGTATGTTGATTCTTATTTGATAGAAGGACCATATCAATGTAGTTTGAGAAGTGATCGATGAAGTTGAAAAAACACTGATAATTCTCAACCCCAGCTAGTGCGGACATAACACACACGTCTGCGGACACGAAGTGAAATGGTGGGTCCGCGGATGTGGACAACATGCAGAATGGTAGCCGCATCGCCTTTCCTCGCGCGCACAGGCCAGAAAAGGTGTGTTTGGCTCAGGGTGCATTCTGAGGGGGAACGGCACATCGTCTACGTGTTTGTTTGACTGACCTTAATGACTTGAAATCGACATGACCAAAATGTTGATGTCACAGAAGATTGTTGTAATTGACAGTGGCATACGATGTATCCAGTTCTTTGCCAGCAAGCGCTGCTTACACAATGTCGCTCAATAGTTCGTTCCTCCCAAACGAGGACACGTGGGCCATCATAGCGATGCTGTGTCAATGATCCCTGTTGACGCAGAGAGGGGCGGCGAGGGGCGGCCCCTTTAAGAAATGCTTTTGTCAGGTGAAGCATTGCCGCGGATTGATAGGTTGGACAAGGCTTAGATTTCAACGAGTCTGGTTAAGAATGGTGGTGACAGCATGTTTGTTGCTTGTGTGCGCTTTGTCCCCTTTGCTGCTGGGTGTTGGGACTGAGACGTGTATGGGTAATGACTCCTTCCTTCAGGTGGAGCATGTCCAAGCAGGTTCCCATCCTCATTGAGCAGATCAGCGTGCTTCTGTTTAAAGTGAGTCTCAATGCCGATGTCAGCAAGATCACCAGTAGATAAAATGGAGCTGTGATTGAGGGCACATGCAGCGAGCACGGGATTGAGATGTCAACTGGCGAGGTAGGAGTCGGAGACGGGCCGGAGAGTTGCATTGACTGGAGCAGGCAGTGGCCCCATACGGAAATCTTACAACCGTCCCCCGCCAGAATATTAGAATTTAAATTGAAAATTGAGATTTGTCTCGAGTAATGATAGTAATGATAGTAGATGCTCCGGAATCAACTGCCCACTTGCGAGAGGTATTGGTAGGGGGCCCGCAAGTGGGCCAGGCCTGTCATAATTGATAGTTTGATGAATCACCCTCATTGTCGTCCTCGTTCGTTTCCACCTTCATGTGTCCACCCTCATTGTTGTCACGAGCTACCATTGTTGGAGTTAATGGATGATAGCTGTCCAAGGAATAACCTCTGCGACGCTCAGACACGCCACAAGGGTGTTGGGGTCATGGGGAGCCTTAGATGGAAGCAGACCAATTATGTCTACTGACTGGTAGCTCAGTGGAAGAGCATCTGTACCGGAATCAGAAGGTCCTGGGTTTGAATCCCGGTCAATCCATATTAGTGGCCAAATACCCAACTACAAGCATGCTTGAACAATCTGAAAGAGGATCGATACTTTGTGAGTTGGCAATTTCTAACAACCATGGCCTTCTGTTGAATCGGCCCGGATTTCTGTTGAGGCTGATTACCCTGACGATGGTTGTATCCCGATGGTGAAGAGGCTACTCCTCATTGTGCAACCGTGAGGTGAGGACAAAGATAACTTGTGCCCCGGAAGCTCGTAGATGATACAGAGGTATTTGGGTTGCTCGGGGTGGTCGACAGCTCGTGCGAGGTCGCTGCAGCCGCAATGCCCTGGGTCTGCGCGTAGCAGAAGCTCCGCGGAGTATTCCCTGGGTGTTGGTCGGGACTTGGGTACGATCCCTGGTCAAGTTGTCCACAAAATGCCCACTGTTGCTGATATCACCTACGCCAAGAAATGGATAGGTATGACGTGTGGCTTGCAATCGGTTCTTGCCTAATTGCTGCACTTCGAAGGTCCTTGTAGGGTCTTCAACACGCCGGCATCCAGACGATCTTGAAGAACTCGTCGCACTGCTGTTGATAGTCCAGTGATGTAATAGAACAAGTGATCTTCAAGCAGTGGTTTGACCAGTATGTTGTTGTAGGAATCATTCAATGATGCGGTGTATTCCTCGACAGTCGTTGACCCCATCATTTGCAGAGACGTCCGCGCTTGGGCGGACAATCAAGTCTTGATTTGCTTGTAGGAAGGTTTCGTGCAGCAGCCGCCAGAGCGAGGTATGGCTGGTCGGGTTTGTCGCGTCTCAAACTAGGTAACACACTGGTCTGGCTGATGCTGTCCACTTAGTTCAGTGGTTTCGACACTGTTTTGACCCCCTTCTCGTCTGCCATTCTCCAGTAACCTTCTATGCGTGTAACGAAACTCTTGAGGGCTCTCGGGTCGTTCTACAGATCTGGGAATTCCTTGAGGGAGTCGTATTTTCAGCGAACATCTTTCTCTGCATGCTGCCGGGCAAGGTCTGCAGAAAAGTTCGAGTTGAAAGCGGACGCTCGTACCGCGTTGGCGACTGCTTGCTGAAAGGCTCGACTGGGAACGCTCCTCCAGACCCTGTCCTCTCGCGAGCTTCGCGCAAATGTAGCTTTAGTTGCGCACGATCAGCCTCTGCTTGCGCGTGTTCGAGAGCGCGCTCCAGGCACTCCTCCTCGAGCCGACGCACTGTCTTCCTCTGCGCTGGATCTCACGTCCTTGTTGCTGTCCCGAGACGCAAGGTG